GCGGTGTTTGGTTTTCTGTTCTTGTGTCAGTTTGCTGAGAATGATGGTTTCTAGGTTCATCCATGTCTCTACAAAGCACATGCACTCATCATTTTTTATGGCTGTGTAGTATTCCATGGTGTATATGTGCCACATTTTTGTTCAGTCTATCATGGATGGGCATTTGGTTCCAGGTCTTTGCTATGGTAAACAGTGCCGCAATGAACATACGTGCCCATGTGTCTTTATGATAGAATGATTTATGATCCTTTGGATATATACCCCGTAGTGAGATTGCTGGATCACATGGAATTTCTATTTCTAGATCCTTGAGGAATCGCCATACTGTCTTCCACAATGGTTAAACTAATTTACACTCCCACCAACGTGTAAAAGTGTTCCTTTTTCTCCACATCCTCTCCAGCATCTGTTGTCTCCAGATTTTTAAATGATTGCCATTCTAACTGGCGTGAGATGGTATCTCAATGTGGTTTTGATTTGTATTTCTCTAATGACCAGTGATGATGAGCATTTTTTCATATGTTTGTTGGCTGCATATTTGTCTTCTTTTGAAAAGTGTCTGATCATATCCTTTGCCCACTTTTGAATGGGCTTGGTTTTTTCCTGTAAATCTGCTTTAGTTCTTTGTAGATTCTGGATATTAGTCCTTTGTCTGATGGGTAGATTGTGAAAATTTTTTCCCATTCTATTGGTTGCCAGTTTACTCTAATGATTGTTTCTTTTGCTGTGCAGAAGCTCTTAAGTTTAATTAGGGACAATTTGTCTATTTTGGCTTTTGTTGCCATTGCTTTTGGTGTTTTAGTCATGAAGTCCTTGCCTGTGCCTATGTCCTGAATGGTTTTGCCTAGGTTTTCTTCTAGGGTTTTTATGGTGTTAGTTCTTATATTTAAATCTGTAATCTATCTGGAGTTAATTTTTGTGTAAGGGATAAGGAAGGGTCCAGTTTCAGCTTCCTGCATGTGGCTAGCCAGTTTTTGCAACACCATTTATTAAACAGGGAATCCTTTCTCCATTGCTTGTTTTTGTCTGGTTTGTCAAAGATCAGATGGTTGTACATGTGTAGTGTTTCTTCTGAGGCCTCTATTCTGTTCCATTGGTCTATGTCTCTGTTTTGGTACCAGTACCATGCTGTTTTGATTACTGTAGCCCTGTAGTATAGTTTGAATTCATGTAGCGTGATGCCTCCAGCTTTGTTCTTTTTGCTTAGGATTGTCTTGGCTATGCAGGCTCTCTTTCGGTTCCATATGAAGTTTAAAGTGGTTTTTTCCAGTTCTCTGAAGAAGGTCAATGGTAGCTTGATGGGGATAGCATTGAATCTATAAATTACTTTGGGCAGTATGGCCATTTTCACAATATTGATTCTTCCTAACTATGAGCATGGAATTGTTTTTCCATCTGTTTGTGTCCTCCTTACTTCCTTGATCAGTGTTTTGTAGTCCTCCTTGAAGAGATCTTTTACCTTCTTTGTTAGTTGTATTCCTAGCTATTTTATTCTCTTTGTAGCAATTGTAAATGGGAGTTTTATTTGGCTCCCTGTTTGTTTGTTATTGGTGTATAGGAATGCTTGTGATTTCTGCAAATTTATTTTGTATCCTGACACTTTGCTCAAGTTGCTTATCAGTTTAAGGAGATTTTGGGACTGAGATGATGGAGTCTTCTAAATATACAATCATGTCATCTGCAAATAGGGACAATTTGACTTCTTCTTTTCTTAATTGAATGCCCTTTATTTCTTTTTCTTGACTAATTGCTCTGGCTAGAACTTCCAATACTATATTGAATAGGAATGGTGAGAGAGGGCATCCTTGCCTAGTGCCAGTTTTTAAAGGGAATGCTTCTAATTTTTGCCCATTCAGTATGATATTGGCTGTTGGTTTGTCATAAATAGCTTTTATTATTTTGAGATACATTCCATTGATACCTAGTTTATTGAGAGTTTTTAGCATAAAGGGCTGTTGGATTTTGTCAAAGGCCTTCTCTGCATCTATTGAGATAATCATGTGGTTTTTGTCTTTGGTCTTGTTTATGTGGTAGATTATGTTTATAGATTTTCATATGTTGAACCAGCCTTGCATCCCTGGGATGAAGCCTACTTGATCACAGTGGATAAGCTTTTTGATGTGCTGTTGCATTCAGTTGGCCAGTATTTTATTGAAGATTTTTGCATTAATGTTCATCATGGACATTGGCCTGTAGTTTTCTTTTTTAGTTGTGTCTCTGCCAGAGTTTGGTATCAGGATAATGTTGGTCTTATAGAAAGAGTTAGGGAGGATTCCCTCTTTTTGTATTATTTGGAATAGTTTCAACAGGAATGGTACCAGCTCCTCTTTGTATGTCTGGTAGAATTCAGCTGTGAACCCTTCTGGACCTGGTCTTTTTTAGGTCAGTAGGCTATTAATTGCTGCCTCAACTTCAGATCTTGTTATTGGTCTATTCAGGGTTTCAATTCCTTCTTGGTTTAGTCTTGGGAGTGTGCAAGTGTCCAGGAATTTATCCATTTCTTCCAGATTTACTGGTTTATGTGCATAGAGCTGTTTGTAGTAATCTCTGATGGTGGTTTGTATTTCCGAGGAATTGGTGGTGATCTCCCTTTTATTGTTTTTTATTGCATCTTTCCGATTCTTCTCTTTTCTTTTTTATTAGTCTAGCTAGTGGTCTGTCTAGTTTGTTGATCTTTTCAAAAAACCCAGCTCCTGGATTTATTGATTTTTTGAAGGGATTTTGTGTCTTTATGTCCTTCAGTTTTGCTCTGTTAGTTATTTCTTATCTTCTACTTGCTTTTGAGTTTTTTTGATCTTGCTCCACTAGCTCTTTCAATTTTGACGATAGAGTGTAGATTTCAGATCTTTCCTTTTTTCTTGTGTGGGCATTTATTGCTATAAATTTCCCTCTATACACGCTTTAAATGTGTCCCATAGGATCTGATACATTGTGTCTTCATTCTCATTGGTTTCAAAGAACATTTTTATTTCTGCTTGCATTCATTTCATTGTTTATTCATTTGTCATTTAGGAGCAAGTTGTTCAGTTTCCATGTGATTGTGCAGTTTCGAGTGTTAATCCTGAGTTCTAATTTGATTGTACTGTGGTCTGAGAGAGTGTTTGTTATGATTTCTGTTCTTTTGCATTTGCTGAGGAGTGATTTCCTCCCAATTATGTGGTCAATTTTGGAGTAAGTGCAATGTAGTGCTGAGAAGAATGTGTATTCTGTGGGTTTGGGGTAGAGTGTCCTGTAAATGTCTATTAGGTCAGCTTGTTCCAAATCTGTGTTCAAGTCCTGGATATCCTTATTGAATTTCTGTCTCATTGATCTGTCCAATATTGTCAGTGGAGTGTTAATGTCTCCTACTATTATTGTGTGGGAGTCTAAAGTCTCTTTGTAGGTCTTTAATAAGTTGCTTTGTGTATCTGGGTGCTCCTGCTTTGGGTGGAAAAATATTTAAGATAGTTAGCTCTTGTTGCATTGATCCTTTTACCATTATATAATGCCCTTCTTTGTCTCTTTTATCTTTGTTGGTTTAAAGTCCATTGTATCAGAGACTAGGATTGCTACCCCTGCTTTTTTTTGTTCTCCATTTGCTTGGTAAATCTTCCATCCCTTTATTTTGAGTCTATGTGAGTCTTTGCATGTGAGATGGGTCTCCTGAATACAGCACACTAATGCATCTTGACACTTTATCCAGTTTGCCAGTCTGTGTCTTTTGATTGGGGCATGTAGGCCATTTACATTCAACATTAATGTTGTTATGTTTGAATTTGATCCTGCCATTTTGTTACTGGCTGGTTGTTTTGCCCATTAATTGACATGGCTCCTTCATTGTGTAGTTTTGTTTACTATTTGGTACGTTTTTGCAGTGGCTGGTAATGGTTGTTCCTTTCCCTCTTTAGTACTTCCTTCAGTAGCTCCTGTAAGGCAGGTCTTGTAGCTACAAAATCTCTCAGCAATTGCTTGTCTGTAAAAGATTTTATTTCTCCTTCACTTATGAAGCTTAGTTTGGCCAGATATGAAATTCTAGGTTGAAAGTTCTTTTCTTTAAGGATGTTGAAGATTGGCCCCCACTCCCTTGTAGTTTGCAGGGCTTCTGCTGAGAGATCCGCTGTGAGTCTGATGGTCTTTCCTTTGTGGGTGACTCAACCTTTCTCTCTTACTGCTCTTAGGATTTTTTCCTTCATTTCAAACCTGGTGAATCTGACAGCTATGTGCCTTGGGGTTGCTATTCTTGAGGAATATCTTTGTGGTGTTCTCTGTATTTCTTGGATTTGAACCTTGGCCTGCCTTGTTAGGTTGGGAAAGTTCTCTTGGATAATATCTTGAAGAGTGTTTTCCAATTTGGTTTCATTCTCCCTGCCACATTCAGGTACACCAATCAAGCGTAGATTAGTTTTTTTCACATAATCCCATAGTTCTTGGAGGCTTTGTTAATTTTTTTTACTCTTTTTTCTCTAATTTTGCCTTCTGATTTTATTTCATTGATTTTGATCTTCTGTCTCAGATATCCTTTCTTCTGCTTGATCAATTCAGCTGCCGAACCTTGTGTATGCTTCGTGAAGTTTCGTGTTGTGTTTTCCAGCTCCATCAAGTCGTTTATGTTCTTCCCTAAGCTGGTTATTCTAGCTAGAATTTCGTCTAACCTTTTTTCAAGGTTCTTAGTTTCTTTGCATTGGGTTAGAACATGGTCTTTTAACTCAGAGAAGTTTATTATTATCTACTTTCTGAAGCCTGCTTCTGTCAATTCGTCAGATTCATTCTCTTTTTTTTTGTTGTTGTTCCCTTGATGTTGAGGAGTTGTGATCCCTGGGAGGAGAAGAACTGCTCTGTTCTTTGGTGGTTTCATCCCTTTCGCGCTGGTTTTCCCCATCTTTGTGGATTTATCTCCCTTTAATCTTTGAAGTCGGTGATTTCAGGAGGAGTCTCTGAGTGGAAGTTTTATCTACTGAGGTGGAGCTGTATCTTTTTTGGCCTGTAGAGGGCGCTGCTGGGCTCTCCCGGGTTCAGTCAGGTTGCTGGGTGGGTGGTCCTTCCCTGGGTTTTGTTTGCAGGTGAGATTGGCCCCGCCTTCCCAATGGCGTCTCTCCCAGAGCTCGATCTTCCTGGTTGGGGTCAAGCTGGTGTATTTGCCGCCTAGCCCTCTAGTCAAGGGCTTCAGTTTGAGCTCTGTGGAGGTGGGGCCTGCCAGGCCTTATGGTCTGTTTCCCTGCTTTCAACTCTGCCTCCCTCTGTGGGAAGGTCCGTCCTGCTGGCTTTAGTCCCAACTCCCACCCAGGTCCCTGCTACAATTTGCCACGCCCGGCGGTAGCCGCTGCTCAGCTTTGCATGGATAAACCGCGGCGCCCCACAGTCTGGCAGGGCCCCCGTGGACCGTGGGTCGCAGGAGAGATGAGGTAAGCACAGGATCCGAAACGGAGCATTGGAGGCGGGGAGGTTAATTCCCCTGACCTTCCAAGCCCCTGCACGTTTCGGGTGGGGACGCTGCCCCCCCATCTTGATTTGCCCCGTGGGCGGCTCCTGCCCTGTGGCTCCTTCCCTGGGCCTAAAATCAGTGCCCTATCAGTCCTACCAAAACAAACCCAGCATCCTTTGGAATCGTGAAGTCCTCTAGTCCTCTGAGTCTCATTCGCTGAGAGCTGCATTCCAGTGCTGTCTTCTCTCGGCCACCTTGGCGCCCCCAGACCAACAGTAGTTTTATAGACAAAGTAATTAGTGCTCCAAGACTCAGTCTGGCTCTCTGGGGTTCCCACAGCTTGTCACCTCTCAGTGTCACTCACCTTATTCCTGCTTCTCTGACCTCAATGTGCTATGGTCATCTTGGGACCTTGCTAAAAACAGGCTGATTCAGGAGAGTTCCCGGGTGGGTTTGGAGCAGCTTAGGCATTTCTAACAAGCTCCCATGAAATGTTAATGCCGCCAGTCCCAGGACCACACTTTGGATGACAAGGGTCTAGAGTAGGGGCTGCAAACTATTTCTGTAAATAACATACACTGCCCAAGCCACACCCACTGGTGTCTATGGCTAACGAATGGCAGAGTTGAGTGGCTGCAACGGAGGCCGAAAAGCCCACAAAGCCTAACATATTTACTTATCTGGCTTTTTGCAGAAAAAGTTTGCAGAATGAACCCCGGCTCTAGAGTCAATTAAGGCTGTTGATTCAAATTGTGTGGGAAATTTCCAGACACACTGATGCCTGGACCCAACCCCCAGAGATTCTGATTTAATTGCTCTAGGGTGTAGCTTAATTATCTGGGTGTTTAAAGGCTTCCAGGCAATGCATATGGGCTGCAGGCCCCAATGGGTTAATTGGAGCACCATGTGGTGCCCTTCCTCCCCCCTCTCCTTCCCTCCTCCCAAGTTCAACTGTGTGACTTTCATTTTTAGATTTGGAATTTGCAGCTGATTTCTGCAGCTGCTTTGGGAACAGATTTTAAGGAGAAAGTTAGAATGCACAGCTGAGTACTGTGGCTCCCCTGCCCCCAGCACATTTATATGCAAATAGCCAAGAGCCTTGTTTTTGCAACCACTAAAATTGAATCAGAATCCAGAAATCCTTTTCTGTTGCTTAACCTTCCATGATTTTTCCCTTGCTTTTCCGGGCACATTTCTACCTCTCTCTTGTTTTTCCTGCTGCATCCTCTAGTGCATGGTCAGGCTTTTGCTGCCTCCTTGTTAATCAAAACAGATTAAACCTCATTTTCTTATAGCTGTATTTGCTGGGAGATGTCAGCAGTTAGCATTTCTCAATTTCTACAGGGAAGGGAGCATCCTACTGTGTAGCAATAAGATAAAATTGTTGGAAAAAGAAACATCCCGAAGCTGACAGTGGAGGTAAATACTTGTCTGAGGCTGGAGGTGATTTTAAGAGACTCTCTGATCTCTCTCCTTTTCCCAAAGGGGCAGAGAGGGACTTGGGAACAATAGCCACCTAGCTTAGTGCAGATCTCCTCCAGGCGGAGGACTCAGATTCTGCTAAAGGAACATCTTTTAGAGTCTCAAAGGATGCATCTCTTGTGACTGCATGATTACATTCCCCCTCCTTCTGGCCTTATAGCTGATCATACCTAGAAGAGGTTCCTTTTGGGCCTACGGAGGCAAACTGGGAGGAGCTGACACAGCCTCAGAAGAGAGGGTCTTTGTGTGCCCCTTGGACATTTTGCCCTGGGTGGAAGAAAACTGTCAGGAGAAGCCCCCTGAAAGCTTTAAAACTGTAAGGTGATGATTTTCAAACATGGTTGCATTTCAGAATCATCTAGAGAGCTTTTTAAAAGTGCCTATATCTTAGACCTCAATCTCTTGATGTGCTGGGTCTGGGGTGTGGCCTGAGCACTGGTATTTTTTTTTACATTTTCTTGTGAAATAATTTAGACTTTCAAAAAAGATACAAAGGAGTACAAATAATTACTATGCATCCTTCATCCAGCCTTCCCAAGTGTTCATAATTTACATAACCACAGTTCTCTAATCAAAATAAAAATCAGATTGCATGTAGTGGTGTGTTCTACCGAGCCTAGATTTTGCCAATTGCCACACTAACGCTTTTTTGCCATCATCTCACGTTGCATTTAGTTGTCACGTCTTGTTCTCCTCCTTTAATCTGTGACAGTTCTTCAATCTTTGTCTTTCATGACCTTGACACCTTGTAAGAGTACCAGACAGTAATTTTGTAGAATACCTTTTTATTTGGTTTTGGGCAGAATATAATGGAAAACTCCCTAGATGATTCTAATGTGCAGTTAGGACTGAGGACTCTGATCCAGTGTAGTGGGTACAAGGCCGTCATGCTTAGCAAATTACCCTCTAGCGTCATGGGAAAACTGTGGTAGGGGCTGGAGGAGACAGTAAGGGTTCACAGAACCCGATTGACCTCCGGTTTGGTCTCTCCCCAGGTCTCCTGCATCTCTGTTCTTTGTTTTCTTTTTCTCTCTTTCCACCTTTATATCCAGGTCACGGATTAGAGACCTCATTTGGTATTAGCCCAGCTCCCTCGTGCAACACTGACATGGAGTTATTTTCAAAATTGGATCATTTTCTCCTCTGTTTGAAATCCTGTGAGTGGGGACCTATCTTCCTAGAAGGCTCTCCGTGATGGGGGCAAAGTCTATGCTCCGCTCCTCTGTCCTCGCCGCTTCCCACTCACTCACCCTGGCAGTTCTGGGAGGTGGGCACGAGTCAGCCTCTAGGCCTTTGTTCTTGTGGTTGCCACTGCCAGATGCCCTTCTTTCAGAAGACCATGCCGCTATATCCCCATTTCCTTCCGGTCTTGACCTCCTGGTCTGGCCCACCTCTTCCCCTGCATCCTCACATCACCCCTGCTCCATGTAGAGGGAATCAGCTACATCTCCCTACATCTCCAGAACCCAGGGGAGTGGCTGGTACAAAACAGGGACTCAATATATATTTGTTAAATAAATGAAAGAAATAGTAGCTGGAAGGAATTTTTTCTAAAGTTCAATTATTGCCAGAGAGGATATTTCATTTAAAATGCTGAGCACAATTATTTCAAGTGATCTCTCCTTTTTAAATCAGTTGCCCAGCTTCCCTTTGTGTTAAGTGCACATCTCCTTTGGGCATGTTCCATTTTTCCAGTTCCTCTGTTTCTTCTGCACACAGAAAGATGGCCTCAGAGATGAGGATTGGGTGGGAGCAGGTTGTCAAGTACGTGTATTTTCCCTTTTCTCCTTGTCACAGTTATAAGCTGTAAAGAATGTTTGAGTACCCCATGTGACCCTGACAAGTCTTTCTGCAGTGCCTTCTCAGAGATAAATCTCTCTGCTGGTATTTGAGAAGAAAGAAGGGAATCAGGTATCTCTCGCTCATAAAAATAATTATCCATCGTTTTTTCTGTGTGCTAAGCAATGTGCGTGTGTGTGTGTGTGTAAAATTTACGTTTATTAAAATCCTAAGTGGTAAATAATGATCATCACTATTTTATAGATATGACGCCAGAGTCTTAGAGAGGTTGAACCAGCTGGTAAACTCTGGGGCTGAGATTTAAACCCGGATGTTTTGATGCTGCAACCAGTGGTCCTAATACTGCCTACTATTTTGGTAGCTCCCTATAAACCTAATGGAAATAAGAGGAAGCTGGCACCTTGCAGGCAATGCTGGCTTTGTGTTGCCTTAGAGACTAGGAGAATACAGATATTCTGATTTTAAACACTGAGAATTAGGCCGGGCGCGGTGGGTCATGCCTGTAATCCCAGCACTTTGGGAGGCGGGTGGATCATGAGATCAAGAGATCGAGACCATCCTGGTCAACATGGTGAAACCCCGTCTCTACTAAAAATACAAAAAAATTAGCTGGGTGTGGTGGCGCGTGCCTGTAATCCCAGCTACTCAGGAGGCTGAGGCAGGAGAATTGCCTGAACCCAGGAGGTGGGGGTTGCGGTGAGCCGAGATCGCGCCATTGCACTCCAGCCTGGGTAGCAAGAGCAAAATTCCGTCTCAAAAAAAAAAAAAAAAGACTGAGAATTAGCTGCAGGGCTTAGTCACTGTTGGGGTCTATTCAACCTGCTTCGCCTTCATGGGCCCACACCTGCCAACCATTTTGGTGGTTCTCAGTGTGGTCCTGGGGCAGCGGCAGCAGTGGCATCACCTGGAAGTTGTTAGAAGTGCAAAATCCCAGCTTTTTACTCATGACCTCCTGAATGAGAAACTCCAGGTCGGGGTCCAGGATCTGTGATTGGTCAGGGCCTCTAGGTGATTCCAATACTGGCCCAAGTTTGAGAGCCTTTAATATGGTGGTTAGCATAGTAATCTTCTGGCTCCAAAGTTCCAGTTCAGTGACAGCCCTGCTGCTTACTGGCTGTGTGACCTTGTTGCAAATTACTTCGTATCTTGGTGCTTCTGTTTGCTCATCTGCATAGTGGGGATAATCATAGTACCTACCTCATTTTTTTTAAGATTAAATGAAATATATATGAACTTATTTAAACAATTAAAGCTATTTCACATTAGCTATTTATACATTCTCTGTCTATAATTATACTTTCTGTTCACCAAAAACTGAAAAAACACAAAAAACAAAAAACCTAGTACTTTTTACCGCCTGGCCGGCCTGGATCCTTTAAAGAGGACCCAGCATCTCTGAGGCTGTAGTGTGTAAGCCTTTACAAGGCTAGGCTGCTAACGAGTCTAGGTTGAACTCGTTTCAATTTGCTTCAAGAATGACCCAGATCTATGCCATGTGTAACCAAAGGCTGTATTCCCCGTACCTGCAGGTTGAGAGTCCTGTAAACCAGCTCTGTTGAGCCCTTCAGCACTTGTTTGCAAAGTGGATGATTACTTCAAGAGGATGATCACTCAAGGCACAGTGATATTTACCTAGCTTTTGCCTCCTGACTCACGATGCAGAACCGAATAACTTGGATGAGTTTGATGAGACCAGAGGCCAAGACAGGAAAAAACTTTGTAGCAGAATATTCACAAACCAATCATTATTCATAGCACAGCCCAGCCTTGTCAGAAGCCCAGAGATGAACAGAAATGTTATTCTTCTCTGGAACATCTCAGGAAGCTGCATTTATAACAGATTCCCTACTACTCTAATGTCTAAGCATAGGCTGGCTAAACTGACTGGCTTATTCATTTTCAGAGGATATTGAGAGAGAGAGAATTAGGAAAGGGGAACTGCAGGAGGGAAAGGTGATTAGGTTAATTTAAGATTTTTCTAGAATGCTAAACAATTAGTAATAGCCAAGAAAATTTGAAAGCAAAGAAGAGTGGAGGCATTGAGTTTGTCTTAATAAACATCCACACATACTCTAAAATTACAGTAATTAAAACAGAATGGCACTAGAGAAACCAAAGAAAGATGTTGACAAAAAATAAATCCTTCTATAATGTAAAATAAGTATATGTTAAGGAGATAAACTTGGGGCAAAAAAGGATCTGGATATGTTATTTCATTATTGGTACTATTAGGTTGTTTTTTTTTTTTTTGCGAAGTCTTGCTCTGTCACCCAGGCTGGAGTGCAGTGGTGTGATCGCTGCTCACTGCAACCTCTACCTCCTGGGTTCAAGTGATTATCCTGCCTCAGCCTCCTGAGTAGCTGGGACTACAGGCATGCACCACCACACCCAGCTAATTTTTTGTGTTTCAGTAGAGCTGGGGTTTCACCATATTGGCCAGGCCAGTCTCAAACTCCGGACCTCAAGTGATCTGCCCGCCTTGGCTCCCCAAAGTGCTGGAATTCCAGGCATGAGCCACTGCACCCAGCCAGTGGTAGGACTAGTTTTAAAGCTACTCAACCAAGTTATTCCCTTCTAAATACCAACTACTGAAATAAATTCAAAGTGCCTTAAAGATATAGGTGTAAAAATGGAATCACACATCCACCCAAACAGAAAGAATTTATAAAAAAGAAAAATATATATAGGTGAACATCTGGTGGAACATTTCCCTATCTCTGGACAGGAAAAGACTTTTGAAGTTCAAAAGCTGCACATTTTAGGCCTTAGAAAAATTAGACATACACACCTCCCCTGGATCAGGTTTTCTTTTGGTATTCTTAACAACAAATGAAAAGTCAGTTCTAGGACAACAAGGAATAGAGGCCAGGCAAAGGCTTATCTTACTACACTGTCCAAGGCAATGTAGGACAACCTTCAGGTTTTTCCACTCCACTATTAAGCCCTTTGCCCAATGTAAGATTACTATGATCATCTAAGATATCCAGGTGGTACTCCTTCCCTAAGCCAATGTGGCTCACATGGTCTTAGGGAATGAAGATTGAGGGCTGGCCCACAGCCCACTGCTATGTCTCAAAGGAGGGAAGGTAGACGCAATGGTGGGTAATCACCAAACACATTTGTTTTCCTGCTAGGTACTTGGGCAAACTACATTTTCCAGGAGATTAAGTGGGGTCAGTTGACTGAGTTGTGGCCAGCGTGGGTGTGGAGATGTACAATCCTTTCTTTATCTGGCTGATAACAATCTCCATTTTCTCTTCTTGTTCCTGGTGACCATGAAGGACACACATTGAAGGTAGCAGCACCACAGGATGGAAGCCATAGGAAAGCTGTTCAACTGACAAGAGGTATGTTGCAAGTCAATCTTCGTTTTGTTCAGCCATAGAGATGTCATTATCTTCCCAAAGTAGTCTGGCCAACCCAAGCTCAACAACTGTTGTCATCCTCAACTCTTAGGTAAAAAGATGGACACATCAAAACACAATCCAATTCCTTGCTTAGTTTGAGGAAGAATCAATGAACAGATACCCCCTTTTTTGCATTAAGTATGGAGTAGGCATAATTTCTGAACCAAAAGGGAGTTCTCATAATAACATTGCAAACTTTGCTTGCTCTTTCATTGTTCTTCATCAATATTTTTCTTCTGGGACAGGGTACAGAGTGTCCTTTTAACTTGCATAATAATCAGAGTTGAATTTCATCTTTCCTCTATATTTTTCTCCAAGAGAAAAGAAAGAGAGCTCAGCCAGGTGGTCACCAGTTATAAAAGGGGATTTGCCAAGTGTTTCCCAGAGCACAGTATTCAGTGGAATTCTTTCATTTATTTAGTAAACACTTAATGGGAAGCTAATATGTGTCAGGGACTGTTCTGGTGCTTGGGATACTTCAGTGAGGAAAATAGATAATCCTTGTCTTCATAGAGACTACTTTTTCCTCATCAAGCAGTGAGAGATTTTCAATATGATTTTCTTTGAAATGAATTTAATAAATAAGTAAATTACATAAGTGCCATGGAAAAGGTAAAAAGTAAAGCTGATAAGGAGAGCATCAGTGGGGGTTGTTTGCAGAATTAAAGAGGGTGGTCATGGCAGATCTCACTGAGAAAGCTTTGAGAAGACCCCAAGGAGATGACCAAAGTAGCTGTATGTATGTGCATATATACAGGAAGATAATTCTAGAAGGGCTAGTGCAAAGTTTTAAGGCAGAACACGTGCCTGGCCTATTTCAGGAGGCCACTGTGGCTGGCATAGAGAAGCCCATGTGGGAGAATAGCAGAAGATGAGTTTGTAGAGGTCGGAGGAGAAGGGCACAATGACATCACAGGGAGCTCTCAGCGCATTGTAAGACTTTTGTTCTTTGGGAGAATTGGAGAGCCATTCAGTCACATGAGACAGAAACGTAACTCAAACTTGATTCCAAGGGTAGTTTATTGGCTCACATACCTGAGTCAGAATAAAGGCTCCCCAAATCAAAGTGTTGGGGAAGACACCAAGGGACCCAGTTTGGGTCACATGTTCTCTCAAATCAATCATTGAAAACAAGTCCTGTGATTGTCCAGCCTGGGTCCTATGTGTGCCTGTCTGGACAGAGTAGGAGTGGAAGGCCAGCTCCAGAAATTGCGTAAGAAGAGTTTTCTCCTAGGCTGAAGGGCTTCATCCTCAGAGGCAGCAGGATTGGATGATTAGTAGGCAAAAACATCAATGTGGACTCCAAAAGTGAAGAAAGCCAGCACAAAGGGAGAGACTTGATTGTGTAGAAACATAAAAAGAAGTCTGCGTGTCAGAAAATATCACAATCAAGATTATAAAGCACAAGTAGAAAATTATATGCAGGAAATAATAACAAAAGAATGATACTCTTAGTATATAAAGTGCTCATAAATGTCAATGAAAAATTAAAATCCCAATTGACAAATGATCAAAGAACATGAACAGATTAGTTCCTTAATCAGAAAATATAAATAGCAGATAGAAATCTGTTCACCCACCTTAGTACACAAAAAATGCAAGTTAAATAATAATGACAAATGTTTCTCATGCTGACATGTTTGAATGTCCATATTTATAGGCCCCTCAAGGTCAGTGAGGGGTCTACAAAATGGCAATTCTCACATGTAATTGCTAGCAGGTTTGACTTTACAAAGTAATTTAATAATAAGTATCAAGTGTTTGTGATCCCTGAAAATCCTCTTCTGGGAATATACCCTGATGTAAACAAAAATTTGTGACCAAAGGTGTTATTTGTCGTTTCATTCAAAATAAAAATAAAAAACAAGTTTCATTCAAAATAAAAATCAAAATCAAACGTAAGTATCATAGAATAGGGAAGTAGAAATAAAAATTACAGCCATACAAGGAAATACTTTTAATTGACCTGGAAAATTTTTACTTGATAAAATGCTTGTGGTACAACCACTTGAAAAAGTAGTATACATAAGTTATATACAGTATGATTCAATTATAAAATAATATGAAATAAAACAAATCAAGAATATTATTTGTGATTCTAAGTTTTTGACAATTGGTACATATTTCTTGGATAGCTGAATCCATTGATTGAACAATCCATTGAAATATGGGTGGGTAGATAGATAGATAGATAGATATAGTTAACCTGGGTGGTTTTTGATATCTTTTCTCATTTCTGCTATGAATTTATGTTATGTGGGGTTTCTGCTTCATGTTATATCGATCTTGATAAATTTTTTTTTTTTAATTTTTTATTGGATTTTAGGTTTTGGGGTACATGAGCAGAGCATGCAAGACAGTTGCATAGGTACACACATGGCAGTGTGCTTTGCTTTCCTTCTCCCCTTCACCCACATTTGGCATTTCTCCCCAGGCTATCCCTCCCCACCTCCCCCTCCCACTGGCCCTCCCCTTTTCCCCCCAATAGACCCCAGTGTTTAGTACTCCCCTCCCTGTGTCCATGTGTTCTCATTGTTCATCACCCGCCTATAAGTGAGAATATGCGGTGTTTCATTTTCTGTTCTTGTGTCAGTTTGCTGAGGATGATGTTCTCCAGATTCATCCATGTCCCTACAAATGACACAAACTCATCATTTCTGATTGCTGCATAATATTCCATGGTGTATATGTGCCACATTTTTCCAATCCAGTCTATTATCAATGGGCATTTGGGTTGATTCCAGGTCTTTGCTATTGTAAACAGTGCTGCAATGAACATTCGTGTACATGTGTCCTTATAGTAGAACGATTTATAGTCCTTTGGATATATACCCAGTAATGGGATTGCTGGGTCAAATGGAATTTCTATTTCTAAGGCCTTGAGGAATCGCCACACTGTCTTCCACAATGGTTGAACTAATTTACACTCCCACCAACAGTGTAAAAGTGTTCCTTTTTCTCCACATCCTCTCCAGCATCTGTTGTCTCCAGATTTTTTAATGATCGCCATTCTAACTGGCGTGAGATGGTATCTCAATGTGGTTTTGATTTGCATCTCTCTGATGACCAGTGACGATGAGCATTTTTTCATATGATTGTTGGCCTCATATATGTCTTCTTTCGTAAAGTGTCTGTTCATATCCTTTGCCTGCTTTTGAATGGGCTTGTTTGTTTTTTTCCTGTAAATCTGTTTGAGTTCTTTGTAAATTCTGGATATCAGCCCTTTGTCAGATGGGTAAACTGCAAAAATTTATCTTTTAAAAAAAATCTCCAATTTCTTTAACTTGTTATTGGTTAGTTATGTATAAAATTTAATATGGTCATATTCAAAATTTAATTTCTATGTTGCTATCCTTTAAAAATTACTCATAAGAGTTACAGATGGTCTAGTTTAATGGATTTTCAAAGAATCCAGATTTGGTTTGATTTTTAATAGTTTTTATTATTTTAAAAATTTTTCAGTTTTATGTACATATATGTGTGTACATATATGTACACATTTCATACATATATATGAAATCCTCATTTTTGGATTTTTTTCTGTTTCAAAAATATATGAATGCTTTTAAAACTTCTTTCTTTTTTATTTTTAATGAAAAAAATGCTCTAATGCACAATTAGAGCATGTAAAACTGAATTTTCCTCTAAATAGTGCTTTGGATTCATCTCATATTTTCAATAGTGTTTGTTGTAGTTTGTTCAGGCGACTGTAACAAACCTTAGACGGGTAATTGGCCACAACAGAAATTTATGACTCACAGTTCTGGAGGCTGGAAGTCCATAATCTAGGAGCCAACAGGTTCTCTGCCTGGTGAGGGCTCTTTGCTTCCTAGATGGCACCTTGTTGCTGTGTCTTCACATGGCACTAGGGGCAAGGCGGTTCCTGTCTATCTCTTTTATAAGAGCACTAATTCCATTTGTGAAAGGAGAGCCCTCAAGATGTAATCACTTCTTAAAGGTCCCTCCTCATCATAATGGCATTAGGTTCCAAGATACGAATTTTGAGACAGGGTGGGGGGTCACCAGTGTTCAGACCATAACAGTGTTCTTGGTATTGTTACTTTCTAAATAATACATCATTTTATTCTTCATACCGTTCTTAAGAATGCATTTAGATAATTACTTTAAAAATATTATGGTAACCACCCTTTTAATATTTAGTGGTTAATATTGATATTTATTGCCAGCTTTATTGCATGCTGATTAAAATATAAGGTCTTGGCAGGGTGCTGTGGCTCACACCTGTAATCCCAGCACTTTGGGAGGCTGAGGTGGGTGGGTCACTTGAGGTCAGGAGTCCAAGACCAGCCTGTCCAACACTGGGAAACCCCGTATCTACTAAAATTACAAAAATTAGCTGGGTGCGGTGGTGGGCACCTGTAAACTCAGCTACTTGGGAGGCTGAGGCAGGAGAATAGTTTGAACCTGGAGGCAGAGGTTGCAAGTGAGCTGAGATCATGCTGCTACACTCCAGCCTGGGTGATAGAGTGAGACTCCATCCCCTCCACCCCCACCAAAAAAGGCCTTTATCTAAGAGAAGGGCACAAAATTTACATGGCAAGAAATAGCATTCATGTGGAGTTTGAACCTTGAATCTGACCAAATCTTTATTTCAGAGTATTTTACACTGGAAATGGCTAGATACCTGTACTTGACAAATATAAGTTCTTTTCCCACAATCTCCTCTGATCATTTGAATAGAGCTTAGAAGCAGTTTTTTGGGGGTGAGGGGTCAGAGAACAGCTACATTATTTTATACATCTGAGTTGTGACATATAATTTTTATCCTTTACAAACAATTACAAAATTATTGTAAGTGTTCTGAAATAGCAAATAGGAGTTAAATAGACAAACACAAGTAGCTGAAAGGGATCTATTTTAAATTGGGCCATTAGGGAAGGCATGTCTAGAAAGTGACATTATAGCTGAGATCTCAGGGACGAGAAGGTACCAGACCCGTGAAAATGGAAAGAAAGAGCTTTCAAGTTCAGAGCCTTAAGGATGGAAATAACTTGACCTGTTCTAGCAGTGGACAGAAGGCCAATATGCTGGCAGCATTGTAAACCAAAGAGTCACCAGGGAAGAGGCTAGAAAAGAGTATCATTTAGATTCTTACCCTTTTTACTTAAATATTTTGATGGTCTGTGCATCAGTTAGTATAGGACAGGTTACCACAGTGTAACAAATGAGCCCTTGATCTCAAAACAATTTAATTTCTCAGTCATGCCGCCTTCTCACTGGAGTTGCCTGAAACTCCATGTCTTCACTCCTGGATCTGTGGTGACAGACAACTGTCTGGGATGTTGCTGATTATTACCATAGGGGAAAGAATAGAGAATGAGTCTTCATGTTTCTGCCTGATGTGACACATGTCCCTTCTGCCCCCGTATTGAACAAAGGAAGTGACACAGCCATGTCCAATTTCAGTAGGACGAGGGAGTATAATCTTCTCCTGGGGAAGGGAAGTGCTTATTGGTATAGTTATCTCCTTGCAAATGTACGTCCTCTATACATGTGAACTAAGAAGTAGAGAGAAGTGTACTGCCTTTTCTCTTTACAGATTCGCTAGTTATTATCAGAGAAAAGATGAGTTTAAAAAATTCACGCCATCCGTATTTTTGTCAGTGTGTACGTGTTTTAAGACCTCAAATTTCCCACTTTTCTAAATGATAGCAACACAATTTCTCTTCACTTCATGGGTCCAACTTGAGGGCAAAGTTTAAATCAACTTCAGTAGAATAAAATTTCACAATTACTAAATAATTGTAAGAATCATTTCTTCTTTGGGTGAAGCATCCTCCACTAAAGAAAGGACTATTTGCCAACAGTACCAAATAGCATAATCTGATGTTTATAATTTACTAAGTGCTTTTGCAAACGATTGGCATTTTGTTCACGTTTACATTTGTAAGAGAGTTCAAGTATGTATTAGTATTTACATCTTCTAAACCAAGAAATGGAGGCAGTTTCGTTCTCAGATTCCCACAGCTGGGCCAGTACATTGGTATCATTATCCCTTTCATCTCTGAGAACCACCAGTAGAGTTAAGCAATCTTTGTTGGCACCTTCAGTCAATGCAAGGCACAGGGGCAGAAATGTTGGGGGAGAAACTTTCATAAGAGGGCCAGGCAGAGATACACAAATTTGCTGGAGATGAAAAACTGCATCTAGCAGGGCTAGAATCATGTCACATTATCTTTCTTTTTTCTTTGTTTTTGAGACAGAGTCATGCTCTGTCACCCAGGCTGGAGTACAGGTGTACGATCTTGGCTCACTGCAACCTCCACCTCCTGGGTTCAAGCAATTCTTCTGCCTCAACCTCCTGAGTAGTTGGTAGTTGGGATTACAGGTGCTTTCCATCATGCCTGGCTAATTTTTATAGTTTTAGTGGAGACAGGGTCCCACTATGTTGACTAGGCTGGTTTCAAACTCCTGACCTAAGGTGATCCACCAACCTCGGTCTCCTGAAGTGCTGGGATTATAGGCGGGAGCCACCACGCTCAGCCATGTCACATTATCTTTACTGCTGTTCTGAAGCATTTGTGTTGAGGTTGCCCACTGAAGTGTAAGACTGTCCTATCTATAATTTTTGTCTCATCCAACCTTTTTATTACAGGAAAAATGCTCCTCTGGTACAGCAGTTTGAAATACTTTATATCCTTAAACTATTAAGCCTTTGTCTTGGTTTGATAAAGGGGCTGGCTTTCTTTATTGCCTCCTCAAATATAACCCTGATACCACTCTGTAGGAGATGAAGGGAACTTAATTTGGTGGAATGCATATTCCATTTTCAAAAGAACATTGGGTGTTTCCTGTTGTGATTTTTTGGTGGCCCATTGCTAAGCTCTTAACGATTCCGTAATCCTGTCAATTCCATCAACAGTAGACTGAGAATCATTGCTGCCTTGGGTGTATAGGCAGCACAGTGACTGGCTCATAAAAGGTGCTCACTAAAAATTCTAGCAGTGGTGATGGGTTCTGAAAGACAGGCCAGTGTTCACAGGACCATTGGCTTTATCTCAACAACTTGTATCTTGCAATATAGAGGCTGATGCTAGGCTGAGTAATTATCTGGTATTCAGAGAAAACTTAGACACTGAGATTTTTATCTATACAAAACTACTCTATAGTTTAAAATTTGAAAACCATGGCCAACACGCTGACCAATCTTAGTAAGGGAAAACTATCAGTAAGTTAAAGTTGACTTACAGGAATAATTTTAAATATATATATTTGCAATCAAATAGTATTAACTGAGTATTTTTAGTTAGTCATGGCTTGTGGCTAAAGAATAAATTTCACAAAACAGACAATTTCACATTATCCTCTCAAATTTTATTTGTATTCTGCTCTAACAAATATAATATGAAGGCAACAGTTGTTTTTTAGTGTATGGCACAGATGAAAAGAAACAAAACAGATTTAGAAGCAGTCCAGCATTTAAATGCTGGTTTAACAAAAGAGGCACGTATTATCCTATTTAGCAGTTTATACCAGTTATCAGAAGCCATTTTTTTCCTTGCAAGCAACAGACTACATTTATTTGCATTAAGTAAAAACATATCTTGATCAAGAAAATTACTTTTTTTCTGTTTTTCCTTTATATCACAAATGTCAGGGTAAGGCAAATCCTTAATGAATCATGTGATAAAAACCCTATTCCCCAAGAAAATATATTGAACATATTCTGCTAACTTTGTTATTTTTCAAAGCAAAGCCGACATGCACCACATACAGAGAAATGTCTTTTCAAATCAAGTGCATCAAGCAGAACTGTATTAATTCACAAAGAGCCTTTTCAGTGTTTCATAGAAAGATTTACAATTAGCTGCGGTGATTAATATGTGACCCAGTATCACAGACAGTGATTCGGATGCCTTCTTTGTAAGCTGTTATAAAAGAAGACTTGTCCATCATCTGAATAGTTACCAGCGAGAGGAAAAGCCCCTTTGTCTCTCCTACCGCGAGGACCGTTTTAATTAGAACTATTATGTTGAAGGCCTACTTTGATCCTCTGTATGCAAACATGACTAATACAGGGCTATTTTCCTCCCTCCCTCCTGTCACCCTTCATGCCACATAGCTGGATTGGAGTTTGGTTGGAAATTGACATCCAGAATTTATGAGCAGGAAAGTCAATCAGCTTTACAGATCAATTCCATTGTACAACCTGTGCGATGGCAGCACCAGCAAATAAAGGTTTTCTGTGTTCAGGTGTCTTTGACCTGGCTATATTTAGATTGTTAATATTTCACTATTGAATTGGAAATTAACTTTATCATTTTTTAAAAGCATAAAACTGTATAGCCAAATGGCAACCAAAAAGCGTGACGAAGCAAAAATGAAAACCCAGTCTAATTATAGACTGAAGATTTAACTAATTCAGGAGTGAGGCTGAAGATATTTTTTCCTCATTCTCTTAGTTTCCTGGATACAAAGATTACTTACATTATTCTAGAATTTTTAGGCAGAGAATTCCCTCTTTCCACCTCTGCCCCACCCACATTTTAAAGTAAATGAATAAAATGACTGTCATTGATGAGCAGGAGAACGCTAGGGCTGGATGATTCCCATCCTGGCTGTTTTTAGCAAGGACATTAGGTCTCTTCCATCATTGTTCATCTGAAAATCTCTGTCCCTCTGTTTTCCTCATGGTTTTTTCCTTCAATTGTAACTTATTACTGAGGCCGAGTAGCACGAGCATTTTGGAGTCACAAGAAAACAAGCTTCTAGCAGATTGCACTTGTCAAACACTCCCCAAGAATGATGGCAACTTTCAACTTAGTATAAAGATGGCATGAAATATAGAAACTGTCAATATTTGGATGACATCGTTTCTTGGATTTCTTAAAACGAGTCTTTCCTTGCTTTTCTAAAAAGCAACATCTAATGGCAGTAGAGGATATAGGTGCTTCCATATCAAACTGGAATAACAACAGAAGGCCATGATCCCACATTATGAGGTCACATACATGTCATTGCCGCTGTCTTAATTTTATTTAAAAAAATGTGTTAGAATAGAATATATTGCCTATGCCCAAGTACAACTTGTTAACTATTCCAATATATTAAATAAGCCATGCAGAAGGAGTAACAAATTCAGAAAGGCTAAAACCAAAGTCATAGGAAAAGAAGAAGATAAATTTTCCATCAAAAAAAAAGTGCAAAACTGAAGAATTTGATGGGATATTTAGAAAGCAGAACATCCTCTAATTTTAGAAATAATACTCAATCCATTATATGTCTCCCTCTATTAGGAAAAACAATATAAATACGTTTTAATTCTAAAGCCCTTATTAGGAAGATGGATTTAAGAAGATATGCAACAAATGTTATATTTCCAACAACAATGACATGACTTTGGAACCCAGAGAGGCTGTGGGAAGCGGGCATCTGGCCTTATGCTGGCTCTGGGATAGAGATCACTGATGACGCCCGGCATCCTCAGAGTCACCATCCCTTGTGCCCACTTTACCACTGGCATCTTGGGATTTTAGTACTGCTGCTCCCCTTCAGGGCTGTATCCTTCCCTTCAGAGTCTTCTGAGTGAGGGGACCAACCATCAAATCAGCCTTGAACTTGGCATAAACAAGTGATACCATTTAAACAAAGACCAGGAAGACAGAACTGCAAACAAAAGCTCTAATTTCCTCTAATTTCAAAGGAGCCTCTAGTTTGCTCTAGTTTGTGGGCTGTCAAGCTTTGGGTGAAGACAGGATGTTCTTTTATGGAAAACATCTAGAGATTTCAAGAGGTGCTTCTGATATTCGTAGGCATATGTTTCGGTCCTAACTGCAGTGCCCTTGTCTTAGCTCTCAACTGTAACCTAGCAAAGGCCATCCTTTACAGCTGTGCAGGAAACAGTCACCTGTCACTGGTGGTCTCCATGTGAAGACCTCATGAACCAAGTAAGCTCTGCTGAAAGTCAGTGTCAAAGAAGGATGCACCTGCCACTCTGGTTAGGAAGGAAGAGACCCAGATGGCTGCCAGGGCCCACCCTTCTGGTTATGCCTCTGCACTCTGCTCTGGAGAAAATATAGCTTCCATATTTCTCATTAACCACATGGAACAGACTGTGCCTTGGGAATCCCTGAAGAAAATATTTTCACCTCATTGTCCGGACCTTTTCCCAGTGGTTTCCGAGGCTTTTGCCCATTTTCTATCCTGCCTCCTTTGTCTGGGGATTATATTGCTGCCGGGCTCATTGATTCCTAAAATTTACCCTGCAGCTTATCAAACAACTGTCTTCCTCCCCTTCCTTTGAAGAAACCACTGTGTGACCAGCTTTGTGAAATAACCAAGAAAGCAGACAGAGGCCAGGACACATGTGTGTTCAACCAAGCCGCTGTGGCCCTGGGGCCGAGTTGTAAGAGAAAAGACAGGAATGACAAGGATAATGCCTGAAAGATGCGTTAACATAGGTCCCTCCACCAAATTAAAGGAAACTTTTTTTTCTTTCTTTTTCTGCAGATAAACAAAACATAATACAGCTGGAGAAATTAGAGCAAAGGATTCCCCATCCTTCCGTGGGACTTGCCTTCCCCCCACCCCCACCCTCCTCCATAGCGTGTGCTGCTATCTTCCCAAACTCCCCCAGAGCTAGGAGAGGCCTTGAGATGCTGAGGATTGTCATTTAGTTCCATTTCTTTGTTCCTTGGTTTCATCTCGTGCCCCTGCAGAGACAAAGAGAAGCCATTTGTTAGATTAAAGATAAGACATCTTCACAGACTTAGCAAGGAATACCTTTTTAATACAGCCATTTAAATGTCTCTCACCCCTCACATGGGCCCATGAATATCTTATATGACTATCAAAGAGCTTTGGATAGCTGAGCTGTAATTGCTGGCACATGGTATCTTTAAAGAGCATATAAATCACTGCTAATAAATGTATGCCACATTGACAATGAGCTTTGGCTGACGGGAAGGCTAACTCAATTCTTCAAAGTTTTCTTTGAAAACTGTAACCCTGAGTTGATGTGGCTTCCCTTTGCAGGCCCATGCACACACTCTAGTTTCCAGGGATCTGCATATAAATAATAACAATTTTCATAATGCTGTTTTGCAAAGTAATTGATGGTTACGCCACCACTTGAGACTGCACTTATTAAATTATCTGCCTTACTCACTACCCATGAGAATGCTAAGAAGACATTGTGCCCTGGAAGAACCTATACTTTTTATTATTTATTTATTTTTTTTGGATTTTTAAAATTGAGGTATAATCCGCCTACAGGAAAACATGCATATTTAAGCATACATTTCAATCTGTTTTGAAAAATGCATACATTAAACCCACACCATCATCAAGATATACATTATCTTGTCACCCCAGAAAGTTCCCTTCCCTACTACCCCACTTCTGCTGGAACGAGTAAATGATCTGATGTCTATTTCCATAAATTAGTTGTTTTCTGCCCTAGAAGTCCCTACAAATGGAATCATACATGTCTTGGTTATTCTCTTTCTGTCCTTCGTGTCTCTCCATGTGTCTTTTATATTACTGCATTTTAATTTGTTCTTTTCAATTGTTGTTAATGTTTTAGTGTTGCTCTTTTCTAATTGTTTTACATCTGCTTTTATCTGTTTTGTCATTCAAATGTGATTATTTTATAAAATCTTCCAAAATTTCCTACTCTCTTACATTCTCATAGTGTTAATTGTCGTGTAATTTTACCTACTGATTCACACTGAAAATGGATCATTTCCTTGTGTGTTCTGGAAGTCTTCAAACTGTTAATTCGACTTCAGAATTTGTTTTTCTTTTGCAGAAATTCCATGGGATAGTTTCATATTTCCATTTGCCACATACACCAAGGATCACACTGGTCTGTAATCAGTTATTAAGTTCATTTTTCAATTTGTTTGTTACTGTATGACTTTGGATCTCATAAATTTGTGTCTCAAACTCACAGTGTATTTCTGGTTTCTATCTATCATGGGAGCCTGCTTCTTCCCCCATGAATGCCTGGTGCAGATCCAAGTCTTTCTGTTACTTTCTTGAGCTGGACGTCCCAGATTTATTTATGTGGAGGTATCAGTTCATGAGTGGTTCAAGGTCCAAGATGGGCATTGAAATCCAAGACAGTGGTCATAAAGCCTAACTGTATCAACAATCTGAAGCCCAAAATTCAGTAGCTTATAACATGAGTGATTCATTTTATCTCATGATTTTACTATTTGGCCTGGACTCAGGGGGGCAGTTCATCTGCTTGAGGTGATACCTGCTGGGGCCGGAACATCTGAAAGGGCCTCTCATTTTCTAGGACTTTTCTCCATGTGACCTCCTTCATTCTATAGGATAACCTGGGCTTCTTCCAAAGTGTCTGGTTGAGCTCTTAAAGCTCAATCTAGAAGCCACACTGAAGTCTTCCATGTTTTTCTAGAACCAAAGGTTCAGATTCCATAACCATCTTTACTGCCCTCAAATACTCACTGGAAAACATTTACATTTGGAAAGTGTTCCATTGATTCCTTTAACCCTCCCCTGTTGGATCCTTATGGTATCCCTGATTTTTTACAATTACAAATTATACAATGCGAAACATTCTTGTATTATGTCTTTGAACTCTCTAATTCTACTTCACTGTATTTCTTTAATTTCCTTGAAGGTATGATTCATGGAGCAAAGGTTCCTTCTTTCTGTCAAATGACAAGATCATCTTAACAAACCCTTCTTTGTATATATTGCTGTGGGAGTCAGTGACGTTGCACAAATCATTCCTTCTGCCTCTGTGACAACTGTGTCCAGAAGCTCTCTGTTGTTTAGGGAGCAGAATTTTGAATTTGAAATATTTAAACTTTGCTTTATTAGCTAGGTGACCTGGTGCAAGTCATTCCTCCTTCCTGGAATTTAGTTTCCTTAAACTAATTTTGCATTTTAAGTTTTGATACCTGGCCTGTAATCCCAGCACCTTGGGCGGCTGAGGCAAATAGATCACTAGAGATCAGGAATTTGAGACCAGCCTGGCCAACATGGAAAAACCTCATCTCTACTAAAAATATAAAAAAATGAGCCAGGCATGGTGGCATGTGCCTGTAATCCCAGCTACTCAGGAGGCCGAGGCAGGAGAATCGCTTGAACCAGGGAGGTGGAGGTTGTGGTGAGCCAAGATTGTGCCACTACACTGTAGCCTGGGTAATAGAGTGAGACTCTGTCTCGAAAAAAAATAAAAGTTTTGACATCTGATTAATTTGGGTCAACATATAGATTTATTTTTAGTTTCAAGAAAAATATCATTTTGATAACAACCAAGAAAAACAGATTAATCTTGGCACTTTGTCTGGATACTAGTCACACAGGAAAGTAATAATGTCTGTAAGAAAAAATTCTAAACAAGAAGTGTAAGTTTATTGGCAGCAAAAGGTTAAGAGGAAAGGAAACACTGAGGAGCTTGCATTTAAATTGTTCAGGTTTAGTCTCACTTCATTACTTTTTAATGGAAACCTCTCAACCATATCATTTCTTTAGCTTAGCAGGGTATTTTAAATACATAAAGAAAGTTTAAAAAAAAAAGGAGAAATGTTTATAAGAACATGTTTGTATGAGCTCATAGGCTTTAGCAGTCTTATGCTGTACATGCTTTGCACAGATACCATTACATTTAGTTTTAAATGATCAAGACCACACAGGAATAAGATATGTATTCTTTCACACATTCCCAGGCTTTATTCTTCCGTGATGCTGGTGCAGCCAAGCCTCCTACGAGAGTGTAGAGAACCATCAAGAACATGCAGGCAGTGCAAGGAGGTGTGGGAGCAAAGGTATCAACACATCATTTGTGCCTTACATTCGATGACCCACGATTCATTTATTCCATAGTTTTTTTCCCACTACATATTTTAAACCAGGAGTTGGAACGGTTATGACAGCAAGCACAATTTCCTTCTAATTCTTCTCATCAGCCTTCAGGGTATGGAAAAGGATTATAGACCACTCATGTAGTAGTGTAAAGGAGGCTTAGCATGACTAGCTCCATTTTGATCCCCTCTGCCCCCGTCCAGTGATATCTTTAGGTTAATTGCTTTTGTTTATCTCTTCGTGTAGGGTGAGCTAACGATGGAAGGAATATAGTTTATAGTTTAAAGCAAAGATGACAATAGTCCTATCTCACACCTAACCACCAAAGAGGTGAAGAGAATATGCACACAACATTATGTTAAAGATTTAAAGGAGCACTGTGACCTGACCAATGGCAAAGAAGTTTCACAGCTCCCCCTTGGACCCTTGCTGCAGCCCAGATGTCTGTCATCGGTCACCTCTTGACCTCAACCACCTCCCTCTCCCCTTTCCTCTAAGATAAAAGGAGACTAAAATTCTATGAACTTGAGATGATTCTTTAGAACACTGGTCTGCCATCTTCTTGGTTTGCTGGCTCTTGGAATAAAGTCACTTTCCTTGCCTCAGCACCTTGTCTCTTGATATATTGGCTGCCATGAAGCAAGCAGTATGGCTTTGGACTCAGTCACACTCATCATTCTAAATATACTTTAGTCTCTACTGAGAGATTTAGAATTTTGGTCTGTAAAAACTCCTAAACATGGTCTAGACCAGGCTTTTTATTTTCCTGGGAGTTTCCTGAAGCTCATTCAATGTAACCTTTGTGCAGATGCACAGGTCCACAGGTAGTGGTGTGAAGAAACAGGACCTACGGTGGGCTTGTTTCTGTCTAAACACGCTCATATTCCTTTATACAAACTCCAGGGCAAAGACTGAATGTTATGCTTAAAGACAGATACACCAAGGAACTCAGCAGGTAGCATCTAGAAAAGCAATGCTTCAGAATCAGCTTGGAGTTTCTGCAATAATTTGATCACTCCAGGAGGCCAGGGGATGAGAGGAATGGTAATGTTTTTTTTCTTGTCAAAGCATAGAAAACCATGGTATGCATGACTTGAATATGCTGTAAGTCATCTTTCCTTCTTCAAAATTGGAAGCTTCTAGGGGTAATCCTTTCTCTTTACACTGTGTTATTTGGTTTAAAGATTTTCAAGGTTTATCTCAAGCCATGCTGTGGTAACTTGGCAAAACCAAGGGAAATCCAGTATATCATTTGCAAATAGTTCTTAGGTCTGGTTGATCCACTGAAAATCTTACCACAGGGGGCATCTTACCTATTAGTTGATCTTCTTGTTGACTCTCTGTTGGGTCTTTTACATTGTCAACCTGAGTATTCATTTCAACTATCACCAGAAAAAAAAAAGTTAAATATTCATTAAACCTAAATCTCTGAGACACATTATAATGGCCTGTGATTGGACACTTTACTGATATCCTATTTGATGCCTCTTTTCCATTTGTTTTAATTCATTCAAGACTTTGGGACAATTCTTGTAGATTTTTACTGGCGGAGGTAGAGGATATACCTCAGATGTCCCTTCCAGATGTCACATTGAAATGTAATCCTCAATGTTGGAGATGGGACCTGGAGAAAGGTGACTGGATTACGGGGATGTATCCCTCATGAATGGTTCAGTGCCATCTCCTTAGTGATGAGTGATTTCACGTGAGATCTGTTTGTTCAAAAGTGTGCGACATGTCACCTCTCTCCCTCTTGCTTCTCTTCTGGCCATGTGAGATGTGTGCTTTGCCTTCCCCTCCCATCATGATTGTAAGCTTCCTGAGGTTCTCACCAGAAGCAGATGCTGGTACCATGCTTCCTGTAAAGCCTACAGAACCATGACACAACTAAACCTCTTTTATTTTTAAATTATCCAGTCTTGGATATTCCTTTATAGCAACACAAAAATGGCCTAACACAGTGGAGGAGGGCAGGATTGCTCTTCACTCAACTGTAGAAGCCGAGTTGTCCCTTCAGACCAGATTTTTGGGTTGACAGTTTGGATGTACATATTGTAATTCTTGGATAAATTCAAAGGCTTTAATATCTAAGAAAATAGAGAAGGCAAAGCAAAGCAGATCACTGACATGCAGAGAGGTAAGCAGCTGGCTCCAAAATGTGAATATCAGGCCTGTTTGGTCTGCCATACTTTCAATGTCAGAATTCAAAACAGACCTTGTACACTTGCTGATGGCTGCTGCAGTGGCAGTGGCAGCCGTGAAATAAAAAAGCAGACCATCCAACCGGATCCCATAGTCCTGATAAAACATATGCTTTTACTTGACTCAGTGTATTCTATGTGAGCATTTGCATAAACATAGAATGCATAATTACTGCCATTCTCCAGAATTAGCCCAGAGCAACCATAGCATTCACTCGACAGATTTCCAAGGGTCAGCAAGTTTAATTAGATTGATATTTTTTCAAGCATCAAGGCCCACATTATAAACTGAGAGACTGAATATACAAATAGACAATGGCCAGATCATATATAATGATAGAATTCTGACTTAAAACCTCTGTAGAAGTTAGCCTAGGCAACCAATCCACAGAATGGTCAGGACTTGGTCAGTGACTGTCAGTGTGCCCATTTTTTGCCCCTGCTTCCAACTGGGGACCAACCAGGGAAAGCCAAATGTATTCCCTAATACAGTCACTTAAGGTGGCCCACTTCTAGTTAGCCATGTCCAGCTTCTCTATGCCAACAATCTCCAACCAGAGGATGCCTGAAGCTCATTCAACACAACAAACCCTTTTTTAACATATAGATGGGGTTTTCCCATCTCCTGCTTACCTTTGAGCCTGCCAAACACAAGTGATAATGGCCACCCTTGTTATAGTTACCTTTGAATAAATAACCACTGTTTCTCCTCATCTGGGCAGTTTTCATTTATTGGCACAAAACCAACAGCCTAAATCTCTTTTTTAAATAGTGGCAGATGCTGATTTTCACACCTCAAAGAGGCTTGAAAGAGAGAATGACATTATATGACATCCACCAAACTCTCCCAATAAGGAAGGTTTTAAAAGCAGGTCTCCTTGTTCTCACCTGCAGACTGTCCTGCGTTTCTAATGATATGTGAACTCATTTTAAACCCCATAAATAAATTGGCCAGATGTAGCAACCCTATGTAAATATAAGCATTCATCCACTGTCCAACCTGGTCCGCAAAATTATTGTAAGTTCACCCTTCTCAGTGGGGGCGTGTGCAGGATGAAATGCAGGAGAGCGTTTTTTTTCTGTTTCTTCTTCCAACCAAGGGATGCCAGTTGTAAAATCTACTAATAAATGGTAGTATAAAAAGCATCCCATCATCAAATAAGTTTGGGAAAAGCAACTCTAAACAAGTTTCTTTACCTCTAAGACTTCTGAGAGCCTGCAATCCTCTACTGTGTATGGCGAATCTCCAAGTGAGGATTAAAACTCAGTACTTTCCACATTTACTCCCCTTTTATTCGTGGGCCTGATACTCCTCGAAACATGGTTTGTTAAGAACTATGTCTATAGCATCACAACCAAGCCGAAGCACATTTAGTTCGACTGCTCATCAATAACATGTGGTGGTTCCCAATGGATGGTTCTGGGGCTTAAAAACATTATTCTCATGGGTAGTGCAGGCCCATGAATAAAAAGTCAGTTTGGGAATAAGCCGATGGGCTTATAATTAAGGGAGGCAATTCAGGTGATGATAAGGTGGGAGCAGGGAATACCTGGTATAGGAAATTCTATTTAAAACTACAAATAACATCTACCATTGGCTAAATTTTTTTAGAGGTCATTATCAACTCAAAGTAATTTGCTTTTTCTCTTCCTTTGGCTAAAATAACCCAAATGGCAAGATACTTATTACATCAGTTATGCTCAAATAGTTGTTTCTCTAATGTAAGTAATGGTATTTCAGAGGGCCCTTAGCATCATTGTGCAGGGGAAAGGGCTTATTAATATTCCTGAGGTTCAGACTCTTTAGATGCTGACAAAATTATATTAAGCTTTAAAAGCTTTTTTTAAAATTTATTTTTAAGGTGCTTTTAAAGGCTCACTATGTTTTTAACCAAGGCATCGAAGGTGATCCAGTGGAGTAAAATGATGACGTTATAAGAAAAATTTTAGCCCAAACCCAGTGTAGGAGCAGGTTAACAGTAGGCTAAATACCTTTTACGGAGTAAGTGATGCTTCCATAAAGTTCACTAGGTCGATTTCAGTTCAGTTTAGTCTTGAAATTATGTATCAAGTCTCAGAATTGTAAGATATGATTAAATCAAGACATATGCTATTTTAAAATAGCTAGAAACAGGCTTTTAATTTTTTTATTTTTATTTTTGAGAGAGGCTGCCATTTTTTATTAGTTTCTAGTAGAAAATGGTTTTTGAAATTTACTGTGTTCTAACTGAATATGTTGCTTTATAGAACAGATCGCTCCGTTAATCCTAGATTACACATAGAAAATGTGCCAGATTTGTAGTCTTCATGGGCTCCCATAGGTCAGAACCTTACCATCAGGACCTGGAGTATTTTCTAGGTCACTGGAGCCTTCACTTTTCCCAGGCAGTCTAGGTGTGTCCTTGCCTAGAGCTGAAAGAGAATAAGACCACAGTCCCTGATTAATAGAGAATTATAACAGCCTGAGGGCCAATCATTTCTGTCACCCTCCATTGCCCTTTAAATTCGAAAATACTCCTGGGACTCAACTTCTTTTGCAGAAAAGGTTAAAAGAGGAAACAGTGGGTTGAATTGCTTGAAGTATTCTTTAATTTGTAAAACAATCACATATTTACATATATGATTTCTCAAATTAGAAATCTGGTAGCATGACAGCAGGAAATGTTGATTTCCTCAGAACAACCTACAGGTTAAATTTAGGGAATTGTGTCTGTATGCATGGGTGGGTGTGTGAGAGAGTTTATGTAGCTTAAACTTAGATGAGGAAAAAGTGAAAATGTATTTTGCCTTAGGCATGCCTGAAAGCTGAAAGATTCATTCTCCTGGTAGTGAGAGTTTTTGTTGTTGTTGTTGTTTCTTTTTTTTTTTTTTTTTTTTTTTTGTGACAGAGTTTCGTTCTTGTTACCCAGGCTGGAGTGCAATGGCACGATCTCGGCTCACCGCAACCTCCGCCTCCTGGGTGCAGGCAATTCTCCTGCCTCAGCCTCCTGAGTAGCTGGGATTACAGGCACACGCCACCATGCCCAGCTCATTTTTTTTTTTTTGTATTTTTTTTAGTGGAGATGGGGTTTCACCATGTTGACCAGGATGGTCTCGATCTCTTGACCTCGTGATCCACCCTCCTCGGCCTCCCAAAGTGCTGGGATTACAGGCTTGAGCCACCGCGCCCGGCCTTTGTTGTTTGTTTCTTAAACAAACAAATGGTTTAGTTGTTTCCTTCGGAGACCTCTAATGCTGCCATTTTGGATTGCTGAGAATTTAGTTGGTTGTAGATTTCCTTTGCGGCTGGACTTTATTTGCACAGCTTCACAGGGTGCTTTAATAAGATGCTTCAAAGTAAAAGAATTGTGTTTCATATTGTAAAAACATCTCCAGGTATTCAAAAGGACAACCATTTCTTGCTTCTTAGTTAATCTCTCTTACGTTTTTACGACTTGAAGAGCAAGGACATTTGTAAATACAAATACATATATAAAGTGCTAGAAAACCCATAATTTTAAAGGTTTTATGATTCCTGTACATTTTAAAAGAGAGGATTAAATTTATTTTCATAACTTGATTACTTACTGTGCCCAGAGTATGTTAAACTTCATGTGCCTATTGGTGAGAAGGAAGCAAGGAATGGAAAGATCCAGTTTATAATCTCTTCAAAGGAAGAGATCTTCAGAGGGAGAATTCACACTCCTCGTAATGATTTACTGAGGCTGACAATTAAGAAATATGATTCGAAAGTGACTGGGCTCTGAGCTTAGGTAGATGAATGGCAGAGAGGTCACTAATGGACGACATATAAAACAAGCAGAATGGGAAAAGAAGCAGAAAGCCATTTTAAAGTCTGAAGTGCAGGAGCATTTAAGTGAGATATCAAACAAGTTTTGCATCTAGCACTAAGGAGAGAATTATGAGGAGATAATTATGAATTAAGCATGTGGGTATTTGGGAGACGCCAAGATAGAGTAACATTCATAATAAGAGAGTAGTTGAAAGAATTCAGGAAAAGGATAACACAAAAGGAAAAAGGACTCATGGTCTCCTCAATTCTTCAAGGACAACATGCAAGTCACTGTGTCCATAGTGCTTTTCACTAGTTTCTGAGAATGAGGTGGAAAAGGAAAAACAAAACTTGGAACTTCCAGCTGGACTTGTCAGCACTGTATAATATCTTTCTCACACTGCCTATTCTAGAATGTGCCATTTTCCAATTGCTCATCAACATACTCCTTGAACACACAATTACAGAGGAAACCACTGGTGAATTCCCTGAAGCCCGGGAGCAGGAAAACCTTGCTAATTATGCCTTAGAACACAGAAACAATAGAAAGCAAGAATGAAATATCTGACTTTATAAACATAATAAACTTGTTAATGAAAAAAAGAAATGTTTAAAAAACTACAAATTCAGGGGAAATACTTGCACCTTTTATCATAGACAAAGTGCTACTAAAATCTTTAATATAGAAAGCCTTCTAAAAATGGAGATGAGGAAGACCACCAACTTAATAGGAAAATGGGCAAGAGATTTAAAAGACGGTTAATAAAAGAAGATATGAAAATGGCCTATAAAACATATGAAAAGGTAATTCAGTTTGCTAACAACAAAAGGAATGCAAATTAATATTACAGTGAGAACGGGGTTTCTGTCTAAGGTGGACTGTCATGACGCAGACTAAACCTCTACCAAGAACAGCTAGAAACACCAAATACATTATTTAAAAACATACATTTTGAGGCCCAGAGTGCCACGAATGCAGGACAAACCTGAGGAAATGAAAAATGATGAAGCTGACATGAGACTGCCTCAAGAAGTTGAATAGAACCTGCAGATGTTTTGTGAGGCTAGGGGCAGGGAGCAAAACTGGAGAGGTTCCCTGCTAAGCACCTCAGGTTTTCAGTGGGGTCCCCCGAAGGGTTATATCCTAGGGGTAAGGATGAATGTGAAATAGACCAGCTCTTTAAAAAAAAAAAACCTGAAGTCTAAGTTTTAATTAATAAAATTCCTGATTGAATTATAGTGCTCTGGTCTTTCCTACCTGACTGTTGGAAACAAAAATAAATCTTCTCTGGAGGAAGATTAAAAGCCTCAAGTTATCTCTACAGTTTTTCAAACACAGTGTCCAGTGTTCAATACAAAAATTACCTGGCATTTCAGAGGACTAAGAACAAGTCACTGAAAACCAGGAGAATAAAATATATGACATATGGACACACATCAGAGATCCAGGTATTACACATGTATAATAATGATTAATATATTTTGGAAATTGGATGCCAAGTTGAATAATTTTTATGAAAATGTAGTTTATCAGAGAACTGGATACTTTTCTAAAAGTCAGATGAAAATTCTAGAACTTACACACACACACACACAAAGTTAAGAATTCAATAGGTGATTTTGACAGGAGGTAGACACAGTTGAAGAGGAGATGAGTAAGCTAAAAGTTGGTCAGAAAAATATATAAAGCCTAAACTGCAGATGAAAACCACAGATAAGAGTGAAGGAGGTATATGAGACAGGATTTACCCTATGTAAAATGGAGCAGAAGGAATATTTTAAGAGATAATGTCTGATAATTTGCCAAAATTAATGGAAGATATCATCTCAAACCAGTTCAAAACTCTTATGATTTCCAAACAAAACTAATGAAAAAATCTATCACTCAGTCCGATCATTGTAAAACTACTGAAAACCAACATTAGAGAAAAAACATAGTTATCTAGTGAATAAAGATCCATTAACTTTGACGTAACAACAGTAAGACATAGATAAATTTATAATGAGAATAATGAAATCTACAGATAATGCAATGACATCTTTGAAATGTTAAAGAAAAAACTTTCAAATTTGAATTTGAACTAAAATATTTTTCAGAGAATACAGCTGAGGGAGTTTGGTATCCACAGACCTATACTGAAGAAATAGTTTCCACTACACTCAAAAATAGATTCCAGGTAGACTATGGAACTACATGTGAAAGGTCATGTGGACGAAGACCTTCGCATCCTTATGCAGAACTTTCTTCCAGAGGACACAGCACCGACCCTTAGAGCAAAATAAGCCAAAGGACTCCTGTACAGAATACATAAGAAATAAACATATAAAAGACTGGGAACCAACAGAAAGTGGCAAAGACACAGACAGACATGTCACAAAAGAGGACACTGTGGCTAGTCACTTCATTATTTTCAGTGACTGTGACCAAATCTCATAGCATTTAAAAGCCTTGGCTTTTTCACTAGTAAAATGATTATAAAATATTCCTACTCATCTTAACTCTCTGGGACATTATCAGAGCTATTTAAAATATAATCATAGTATCATTTATAAGAAATGATTACTATAGAAAAAAATTAATTGATAAACTCTAAGCATTATTTCCTTGACTGTTTTCTTAGGGTCCTTGTTTGTGACGGGCTCTAGAGGTACCTACAGCTGATTCTTTCAGGGAGTATCTTTCTAAGTTGTTACTCTCCTGGTAATAACCCTGCTTACATTACTATGGGGAAACCCCTCTGGTATCACAGAGAACTTTCAATCTAATAGGCATAATTCTAGTCTACTAAACAATGTTCAGTGAAATAAAAGAGGTTACAAAACACTTCAAGAGCTACGTAAGAGGAAAAAGTTGAAAAAAGCAAAATGCAAATGACAGAACAGTAAACATTTCAAGTTTTTGTTCTATGCTTGTCCGTCTAACCTCATTTCACAATGGAACGTGTGAGAAATGTTGTGCCATGGTATTAGCATAGATTAGTGTGAGATTCAATGGCAGGTTTGGAATCCATGAAAGACAGAAAAAAAAAAAATCAAAGCTGTAGCTCTGTATACCGCTATATTCCTGGAACAGAGGGAAGTATAGTCTGTCATATCTGCTTTCCAAGATTCCAATTCCACGGGATCTTGAAAGAGATTGTTCATTAATTTAATGTCATGAATGCACATGAGGTTTTCATGTATGTGTGTGCATGTGCTGTGAATATGATGTGTATGTGTGCAATGGTATGTTTATGTGAATTTGTGTGTGTGTGTGTGTGTGTGTGTGTTTGGAAAGAGGGAGAGGAATGACAGACATTTCTTATTCTGACATGCATGTGAAGCTGGTACTATCCTAATAGCAGTAGAAGCTATTAGGATAGTACCTAATCTATCTGCTGGGCAGTGCAACTGAATGCCCTACAGAAATGAATCCATTTCACATAGACAACATAATCTGATAAAAACAAAAATGGCCTCTGTGGCCTATTTATTCCAGTTTGCCCCTCCCTCTCTCCATTTTGATTGCTGCTGGTTGAAACACAAACAAGAGGTAGATTCCAGAGCTCCTAGAAGGGGATAAAAGATGCAGAAATAGAAAGAGTCTGGGACATTCAGTACCATTTTCATTTTCTATCAACAACTGCAGCCCTTGATTATA